GTCCAGTTTTGGGCTCCACAATTCAAAAAGGATGTGGAGAAGCTTGAGAGAGTCCAGAGAAGAGCCACGCGCATGATCAGAGGTCAGGGAAGCAGACCCTACGATGACAGGCTGAGAGCCCTGGGGCTCTTTAGCCTGGAAAAGCGCAGGCTCAGGGATGATCTGATGGCCACCTACAAGTTTATCAGGGGTGACCACCAGCATCTGGGGGAACGTCTGTTCACCAGAGCGCCCCAAGGGATGACGACTAGGTCGAATGGTCACAAACTACTACAAGATCGTTTCAGGCTGGACATAAGGAAGAATTTCTTTACTGTCCGAGCCCCCAAGGTCTGGAACAGCCTGCCACCGGAGGTGGTTCAAGCGCTTTCATTGAACACCTTCAAGAGCAAACTGGATGCTTATCTTGCTGGGATCCTATGACCCCAGCTGACTTCCTGCCCTTTGGGCGGGGGCTGGACTTGATGAACTTCCAAGGTCCCTTCCAGCCCTGATGTCTATGAAATCTATGAAGCCCGCTCTGTCCACCCACCCGTCTCTATCGTCCCTCCACCCGCCCACTTTCATGCAACCACCTGTCCCTCCATCCATGCACACACACAGCTTTCTGTCCCTCCATTCATCCATCCAGCTATGCAGACCCCAGCTTCTTGTCCATCCCTCCATCCCGCCCTGTGTCTTCATCTGTCCCCACCTCCATCCCCGCACCCCATTAACCCCTGCCTGTCTGCAGCCCCCTGCACAGCCCTGAGCGCCCGTCCCCCTGGTCCGTCCGTCAGCCTGTCCACCTGAGATGCGGGCGCTGCAAGGCCTGGGCGCGGGCCTGGGACTGCTGAGCCTGGGGCTGGCGCTGGGGGCGCTGAGCTCAGACACATGGCTTGTGCCACGCAGCCCTGGCTTCGCCTCCTCCTCCTGCCTCTGGCGCATCTGCCTCAACGATGCTTGCAGGCCCTTTCTCATCGTGCCAGGTACCCGGATGCCCGGGTCCCTTCTGTCCAGACAGAGTGGGGCTGGGGGCCCGGACACCTGGCATCTATCCTGCCGGTGGGGCTGGGGGCCCGGACACCTAGGTCCTATCCTGCGGGGGGCCGGGGGCCTGGCAGGATAGAAGCCAGCCTCTCGTCTCCTCCCCCCACCCCAGACTACCTGGCGTCCTCCCGAGCCTTCCTGATTCTGGCAGCCGGAGCCGGGCTCGTGTCCTTGGCCATGTCCCTAGCCACCTTCACCTACCCCTGGCTCCTGGGCCAGCCCCTGCAGCTCCTGGCTATGGGGGGTTATTTCATCGCAGGTACCCGCCCCCCGTCCCACCCTGGGCTGCCCGTGCTGGCCAAGCCAGGTACCCCCAGCTGCCCCCCATCCTCCCCCTGCCCAGGGCTGTTCACCTTGGTGGCCATGAGCGTGTACAGCATGGAGCTGAGCAAGAGTGTGAGCCTCTATGGGGGCGCCGTCTGTTTCGGCTCAGCCTTCGCCATGGGCTGGCTCGTCTTCCCCTTCACCATCCTCAGCGGTGAGAGGCGGCTGTGGCTGGGGTGGGTTGGTGGGGAATGGCTGCATTTAACAGAGTTTGAGGGGGGATGAAATGCAGCCGCTTCTGGGGTGGGTTGGTGGAGTACAGCTGTGTATAACTGCTTAGGGTAGAGGTAAAATACAGCTAGCTCTGGGGTGGGTTGACATGGGTACAGGCATGTATAATCATGCTTGAGGCAGGGTAAGATGCAACCAGCTCTGGGGTGGGTTGATAGGGGAACAGGCATCTACAATGGTGCTTGAGGTGGGTGAAATGCAGCTGCTTTTGGGGTGGGGTGGGGTGGTGGGCAATGACCATGTATAACAATGTGGGGGGGAGGGGTAAGATGTGGCTGATTCTGGGGTGGGTTGGCAAGGAATGGATGTATATAATGATACCTG